CCCAATATATGCTGTATTATGCAGGCCCAATATATGATGTATTATGCAAGCCCAAAGCTGCAACATGCCACCCACCACAAATCATAAATCAGGCCCAATTTATTATCACTCGTCTTCCATCGATCTGTATACAAGATTTGTCAACAGAAGATAGTCATATACAGAACTCATCCTCCACAAAAAGAAAACCCTACCTAGCATCTCTCCGCCCGTCCGCCGCGACGCACAATATCACTTGCTCCATCTCCGGCATCGACGCTCTGAAGTCCTATTTCCCAATTCGCCGCTCTCTGACTACCGAAATCCTAAATCGCCTCGCTCGGTCCTCCTGCTCCCGCACACACTCCACCAGCAGACTGTCAGTCGACGGCGAAGCTCGTCTAATCGAATGAGTTCGCCACCTAAATCCCCTCGTAAGGGCTGCAACTCAGGTTCGTTATTTTCTTTTCTGACATTCAATCTCTCGTTCTTCTTGCAAGTTTTAACTCGTGACTTTGAATCTCTCGTTCGTAATTGTACTGGTTGTACCCAATCAATTCAAGCTGGTGTTTGTTTTTGGTTACTTTTTATGCCTATGGTTTGAGCTGCATTCCAGTAGTTTAAGCTTTGGTGCTCGATTGTGATACGTGGTGATTCCTTAACTGATTCAAATATCACGATGATGTCTTTAGTTGCTTTTCTTGTTCTTTGAGTTATTCTATCTATGGTCTCTTTTCTATTGGTAATCAGTAGTTGAGGGCTCTGAAATATTTTTGGGTTTCCAAATTGTTAACATGATGAACCAGTTACTTTAGGATGGAATTAATATCCTGAACTGGTGCTCAACAAGTGCTTTTTTTTTCGGATAGCGTAAGGCAGGTATCCACTGGATGGCACAGATGCTAGCTTGATTGGGTTCTGACCTATTTTCTGTTAATTTGCTTCTATTACCAAAGGGCCAGCAGCATTACCAGTTTTTTTCTAAAAAGTATCTTAAGCTTGATAAGCAAAATAATTATGAGATGGATAACTGTAGCTTTAGTTCTTGAATGTGAAATTTAATTATGAAATTAACTTGAATGTGGAATCAATGTGGATAACTGATTAGTTGCATAATTATGCATTTTGTAGGTACAAAACGCAAAAATGGTGGTTCGGGTCCTTCGGGATGTTCGAGGACTTCAAGTTCAAGTACACTACGACGTGCATCATCGGATGATCCACAACCAGAACTGGGCAGTGAAAATGCCACGTTCGAGGAAGAACCCGTGGAAACATCTAATGCATATGAAGATGAAGAAGGAGAATCGGATGAAAGAGATGATGGGGTTCCGAGAAAAAAGATTAAAAGAAGGGTAGAGGCATGGAAGCACTTTGATCTGATAAGGGATAAAAATGGCATGCAAAGGGCAAAATGCAAGCATTGTGAAAAAAGTTACGCGGCCCATACGAAATTGAACGGTACGTCTTCTATGAATCACCATATGAGCAAGTGCAAAGGTCATCCTAAAAGGTGATGAGACAATAACCAAGTTTTGTCAAAATATAAGTGTGGGCACTAAAGAAGGGAGTTGTAATTGGAAATTTGATCAAGAATCTATTAGAAAAGCCATTGCTCGCATGGTAATTGTTGATGAATTGCCTTTTCGATTTGTTGAGAATGAAGGTTTTAGACAACTTATGTGCATTTCATGTCCTCAGTTGATTGTGCCATCGAGAATGACTATAGCAAGAGATTGTTTGAACATGTTTGTTGATGAAAAAAATCGTCTAAAATCTTTGATTAAATCGTTGGGGTTGAGAATGCCTTTGACAACCGATTTGTGGACTTCGAATCTAAATCTTAGTTACTTGTGTTTGACGGGTCACTATATTGATGATGAATGGAAGTTGCATAAGTTGATCCTCAATTTTGTTCCTTGTCCTAAGCATAAAGGTGATGAAGTCGGTTATTTGATTGAGAAGTGTCTTCTTGATTGGGGAATTGATAAAGTGTTTGGTATTACCGTTAATAATGCTAGTGCGAATGATGTGACTATAGCCTACTTGAAAAGAAGATTCATAAATTGGGGCACTTCTATCTTGAATGGAAAATACTTGCATATGCGTTGTGTTGCTCATGTTGTGAATCTTATAGTTAAAGAAGGATTGAAACATACTAATTCTTCCATTGATCGTGTTCGGGCGGTTGTTCGCTATGTGAGGTCGTCACCAATGAGATTGAAGATGTTTAAAGAGTTAATCGTGGAGGAAAAAATTGAGAGTAAAAAATTATTGTGTCTTGATGTTGCAACTAGATGGAACTCTACTTATTTGATGCTTGACACGACTTTGATTTTTAAAAATGTTTTGATAGATATGAGATCCAAAATTCCGATTTTCGGAAAGATTTTATGTCGGGTG